TACTTTTGATGCATTATTTTGTATTCCTTTGTAAAATTTAACCACCGGATCCAGTCCAATGCTACGGGGCTCACTCCCCACCTACCAATTTTCCAAGTGTCCCCTCGGTGCTCAGCGGGCTCTGCTTGCCCCCGGCGACGGCTCCCGGCTTCCCAGGAAGCCTCAGGCGTGTGCACCCCTTCTTGTCCAGCTACAAGGCGGCCGAGGGGGTCTCCTGCAGGTTCTCCTCGAGCTTCAGTCCTAGGTTGTCGATTCCGATGCTGGTGATGGGCGGCACGCTGCTCTCTGCCGGCTCGGCTGTGCGCGTGGGGGTGGAGCAGTAGAGGACGAACCCCACCATGATGACGGTGAAGGACAGGAGGTAGAGCCCCGAAAACTAGGAGGAGAACAGGCTATGGGTCGCGGTCTCCGACAAACACACGATGGCTGCCGCCCTTTGCCAACTGTGCTTTCAGGGTGACCCTCTCACAATCTTTTTCTCCTGAAAGTTGCCTAAGGAGACACTCGCTCATGCCCAAAACCCTCCAGTACGGATGCCGATGATCGTACGCACTCTGGCCACAGCAGCTGGCGCCTCAGCCAAGGGGACCCTTGGAGCTCTAGAGAATGGAAATTTTGCCTCGCTCTGTGATAACCCAGCTGTACTCCCACCTTGCAACCAGTCCCACTCAGTGGAAAGAATCGAAAGTCAGCCTGGACACCACAAGAGAGTCAATTTCAGACCATAAGCGCAATTTATAATACTGATGTGAAACAGAGGAAGATGGCACCTGAGATACAATGTGGGTGTACAGATGTGGCAAGTTCTCAACAACCCTTCATGTGTGAGAATGTGGTGAAATCCATTTTGGGGGCACCTCAGTCTGACTCTTGATTTCGGCTCGGGTCACGACCTCATGGTTTATGGGTTCAAGCCCCACATCGGGCTTTGTATTAATAGCTCAGAGCCTGGAGCCTGCTTCCGATTCTGTGTCTCCCTAGCTCTCTGCCCCTCCCTGCTCATTCTTTATCTCTCTCTCTCAAAAATAAATAAAAATAAACTTTAAAAAATGAAATAAAATCCACTTTGTTAAAATATAATAAATTATCTTGTCCCTGCAGGCAAGTGTTACATAATCAAATTTATGGTGGACTGAGCAGATTCAGATTTTTAGAGCTCGAAAGACCATTTCTCAGCAACGCCTCCAACCCAAAGAAGTCACTGCTGTAAAGTGCAGGTGGACAAGCACAGGGAAGGGAGCCCCTACAGGAGGAATCCCATACCCTCTCTGCCCCCAGAAGGACTGATTACAGCAAGAACCTGTTCTGACAGACACACCACCGAGACATGGAGTTCCTGGAGGCTTTCTCCAACCTGCCCCTCTCTGTTTAGGAAAACAACTACCCAGAGCAAAATGCAGTGAAGACACAACACTAATTCACCGTGTATTCTTACCAAAAACGGCCTGACATACCCCCAAAGTTTAAATAAATATGCACTCTGTATATTCGCTCTTATTGGAGTGGAGGATCCATACAAAACGTCAAGTATTAAGGAAATTAACACTTGTTTTTAACAGCACCAAAGATAAAACACAGAAAGAGAAAAGCTAAAGACTGACCAAGGATGGTGCAGTAAAACTTAGGGAAACTAGGCAGCACGACTAATGTGTAATTAAGTGCCTAGGACCATTTTTTTCCCTGGCAACAAGCGAACTCAACTTATGACTGGTCCTGCTAACCTGATTTTAAAGTTAAGAATGGGGTGTGCTATTTGTTCAAGCCAATAAATATTTTTAAACTAGCTGAGATTTCATAGTGTACCCCAAAGAGTTCTAATGTCTAAAAAGAGTTCTAATAAGGGGGTGACAAAGAAAAACAATCAGAAAACACAACAGGTTGGGAAAGGAGATGAGGAGAAAGAAGAATCTAGATACACTCCCAAAGGGGGAAGGAGGAACTAACCAGGGGTGTGAAATGAGCGTTAAGAGCATTGCTGCTCACCTCCAGCAGTGGGCTTCTGCCAGTCACCATTGGTTTCCACACGTTAATTTTTTATTTTTTATTTATTTTTTTTTAAATTTTTTTTTCAACATTTATTTTTATTTTTGGGACAGAGAGAGACAGAGCATGAACGGGGCAGGGGCAGAGAGAGAGGGAGACACAGAATTTGAAACAGGCTCCAGGCTCTGAGCCATCAGCCCAGAGCCCGACGCGGGGCTCGAACTCACAGACCGCGAGATCGTGACCTGGCTGAAGTCGGACGCTTAACCGACTGCGCCACCCAGGCGCCCCCACACGTTAATTTTTTAAAGGCTCTCGATTACTTCTTCCCCTTGAGCCTTTAGAACTCTTTAAGGAATGGAACAGCCACAGCCCTCCGCAAAGTGCGGAAGCCTTCAAAGTCAATGACAATGATGCAAAGTCAGTGTTGATGTCAAGCTGAACAGCAGAACCTGGCTTTAGTTCTGGGATCCAATACTCAGCACGGTCCTCAACACACAGCTGGTATTTAATAAATATTTGTTGGGGAGAAAATATTCAGAGTATATTAGGGAAAGTTAAAGCTATTTAGAGCACGCTAAATGTTTAAAGTCAGTGTTATAAAGCCAGTACTTATGTTCGCCTATAAAATGTTCACTGTTACTTGTGGGTAAATCTACATAACTTGGTCAAAACACGTCCTCTTTGGTTTGGTGGTTTTAAATGTTTAGAAGAAAAAGTAACTTTTCCTTTTAAGAAGCAGGTGATCAAATGGAGACACTTCTCTTAGAGGGGAGAGACTCTGAGGAAATGGGGTAAGTTTCCTGAATTAGAGGCTCTTACCTTCACCTTTTTTTCTTACTTTGAATTCTACGCTTTGTATCTGGATCTATGCAGGAAGTTTCTTGTAGCTCCTCTGGTCGGTAAGTATTTACTCAAGATCAATTCCAGAGGAGGCAAAATTTTTAAACTTTTTCAACTCTCTGATTTTTTAAAAAATCAGAGCCAAAGTGGGGCGCCTGGGGCTCAGCTGGTTAAGCATACAACCTCAGCTCAGATCGTGATCTCATGGTTTGTGGGTCTGGGCCCCGTGTCGAGCTCTGTGCTGACAGCTGAGAGCCTGGAGCCTGCTTGCTATTTTGTGTCTCCCTCTCTCTCTGCCCCTCCCCCACTCATGTTCTGTGTCTCTCTGCTGCCCTCTCTCAAAAATAAACATTAAAAAAAATTTTTAATAAAAAATCAGAGCCAACATTATTTCAGATACTACAATTTTTAAAAAGTGGTAGTATATTGGGCTTATAATCCTGTCTTTAAAAACCGGTTCTACAACACTAGGTATCTTCTTTAAGCTCTGAATGGTTTTCCACCTCTGTAATTTACTCTGAAGATCACAGCAGATCGCTCTTTGCTCTACAAGCCTCAAAACAGCCTTTGACCAAAACAACCAAGTCTGATCTAAGAGTGAGCTGCTAGACATGCAGGGACAAAGAAACATACAGCAAAAGAACTGGGAAGGAATTTTAAAGTCTGCATGCTCCAATTTTGAGAATAATAATTTAAAGGTATGTGGTCAAAAAAATGGCTTCTTCATATAAAGTTAAGAGCAGTGAAAGAGGAAATATCTGCATGAAGGGAGCTTATAATAAGTAGTGGCAGGTGAATTTTCACTTCAAAGCTTTTATTTCTTTAACCTTACTTCTTCCTTCCCACTTGGGTATTATTTTACTTAGAAAATTTTACTTACTAAAAAGAAAAAAGTACAGGTGAGTGAAGTTGTATGTGACACATAACGTGCCAACTGCTAAGTTTAACTGCAAAACAGAAACACCATCACCTCCTAGTGGTAGCTATGTGAAATGCAAACACAGCATCAATCTTTCTTGTCCCCCTCCCCAACAACTGACTCACTTTGAAGGCCTACTTTATAGCCCTTAGCAATTGTTCTCATTAAGAAAAAAAAAAAAAAAAAATCCTAGGCTTGTTAGATCACTTCTCTGATTCATTTTGACATGTTATTTTTTAATGATGCTACCAAGAAGCTATAAATACCCTTTCAGTTTTAGTTCAGGAATACCTTAACCAGCAAGTTTGTAAAGATAACAGCTAGCTCCTGTTACATGTAACGTTGCAGGGCAAAAATGGTTTATGCTTCTTTAAGCAGAAATTTCTGAGAACTCACGGAACTAGGCTTTGTGAGTTCACGGCCAATTCCTGGGAATAATGTAAATCCGTGCCAAGCAATTTCTGCCTGGATACAAAATTCTACAAGGACAAAGGACTGTAGCTGTTGTTCCCAAATGAAACTAAAATTATCAAGCAACAGCCAACATTCTAACTATGTGTTCAAATCGCTTGCTGTGATGGCAAGCTCGTCAACGGGCATCTACTGAAGGTACAACTAAAGAAAGACGGGTTTCTGATGCAGCAGTTCTCAAGCTCCCAAGACCTTCGAGGGGACCCAAGACCCTTTCAGAAGTCTGTAACATCAAAAGTCTTCTTATAATACTAATAAGATGCTACTTGCCTGGAGTGCAGGGGGACTTTCCAGTGAAATTCTTTTTTTTTTTTTTATGTTGATTCACTTTTTGCGAGAGAAACAGACCGAGCACAAGCAGGAGAGGGACAGAGAGAGAGGGAGACACAGAATCGGAAGCAGGTTCCAGGCCCTGAGCTGTAAGCACAGAGCCCGACGTGGGGCTCAAACTCATGAATGGTGAGATCATGACCTGAGCCGAAGTCGGACGCTTAACTGACTGAGCCACCCAGGCGCCCCTGTCAGTGAATTCTTGCCCCAAAAATGAGGTTTAATTTTGGATCTAAAATATTAAAGAAACCCATTACTTCTTTTAGACCAAGCAAGTGTTCCTATTTGCTTACCTTATAGCCAAACAGAAAGAGTCCAAAGAAAAGACTGTAGAGGTCGGCTGTCAGGATGCCCAAGTTCACAGAAGTGGCACTAGTGACCTGAATCACCAGCGGCATAAAGCTGTACAGGCAAAACATACAGAGGGCAAACGCCACAAACAGCAGGGCTGTGGGGGGACACAAAAGTGGAATATCGAATATCACAGGAAGAAATCAGAAGGCAAAGACACTTTGAAGGCTTGGCTGCCTATAAAATTCCCTAACTGTTTAACATACTATCTACAAAGTCTCTTGTTAACACTCAGCATTGCCAATGAGGCATAGAAAGCTCTCAGGAAAAATATAATAATAAGACAAGACATAGAGGAAGGACTTCAAAACTGCAACAGGGTGTTGAGGGGGAAGGGCACAGAAACTTGCTCACGGTGGGACTGGTTCAACAGCTCCAGCCGCCCCACGCAGAGAGATCTTGTGATAAAAGGTCAATAAAAGCAGAATAACGATCAAGAAGTATAACCCATAATCTTTTGTTCATCTCATTAAATTCAGTGCTCCCAGAAAGCACAGTATACCCATCCTCTATCGGACAGACACAGTGCGGGCGCTCACTATTTAGCTTTGCAACCGCCTCTTCAATCTCACCCCCATACCTGACACACACCCACACACAGCCACTCACACCCCGGCAATCGAAGTTATTTAACTGAACTAAATTATCCAAGCCCGGCAAATGAACACGGCATTTTACGTACTGCTTATAACTTCTTTCCACCCATCATTAAATAAGGTTGGAGTCTTTCCTGTTTCACCACTGTTTTCTTCTACATTATTGATTAGTGCAGGTGCCCAGGAATACCAGAGAGAAGCAATGGAAGGTGGTGGGTGATTACGCGCCATCAGATGATTCGGGTTAATGTTTCACAAATTACATCAAGCAGACAACCTTCACAAGAGCTTTGAGGACTCGTGATACAGATCTAATTGACAGGGAGTGTGACCGAAGGTCAGTCTTGCTCAGAATTCCTAGGACAGCAAAACTATTCCTGAAGGTTAAGGTTAAGAATTAACTCCTGTGGAAGGTTCATTTATAAGTTCTCACGGAGAGCTCCCTGTAGACCACTGGAGCCCTCTGTGTACTGAATTACTCTGTGATTTTACAAAAATGACTAAATATTATGTAAATGAAGGTATTTATTTCTTGATTCGTGTTTTTGTCACTTAGAGGAAAAGGATACTGACCAAAAAAAGGATGAACATGTATGAACATACCGATTTTCCAGTCCCACTGAATGCTGGCAATATCCTTACATTCAACGATCGATCTAAGATTAAAACAAGAGGTCACAGTGAGATCTTACTCATTTTCACTTGTTTATAAGCATTTTAGTTGCTATACATCAGCTAAGGTGAAGAATTATGTTGATTCTTTTTTGAGGATTACATTGATTTTTAAATTTTGGTAAGTATGTTTAATAAAAATGACATAGAATAAAATCAAAGGGGCCCATAAACACGTTTGATGCCTGTAGAAGCAGTTTTCAAATAGTGGTCAGCTATAGAAGGAAAACATGACAGTGTGTCTTCCATTTGAAATGGGAGATAATAGTTTCTGGAAATCACTGAAAAATAGTCTTTCTTGGTAATGCCCCAACCACACTATAAGCAGAAATCCCAAGCATCATGCACACGTAAGAAAATGAGGCATAGGGGCGCCTGGGTGGCTCAATCGGTTAAGTGTCCGACTTCGGCTCAGGTCATGATCTCGCAGTGTGTGAGTTCGAGGCCCACGTCGGGCTCTGTGCTGACAGCTCAAAGCCTGGAGCCTGCTTTAGATACTGTGTCTCCCCCACTCTCTGCCCCTCCTCTGCTCATGCTCTGTCTCTGTCTCAAAAATAATTAAAAACATCTAAAAAAAAGAAAGAAAATGAGGCATATTTTTTGCCATTTCTAGAATCTTCTAGGGGTGCTGGGTGGCTCAGCTGGTTAAGCATCCAGCTCTTGGTTTCGGCTCAGGTCACGATCTCACAGTCTTGAGTTCAAGCCCCAGATCGGCCTCTGCGCTAACAGTGCAGAGCCTGCTTGGGATTCTCTCTCTTTCTCCCCCCACTCTCTCTGTCCCTCCCTACCTGCTCTCTCTCTCTCAAAACACATAAAAATAAACAAAAAAACAAAACAAAACAAAAGAGTCTCCTCATAGATAGTTAGCAAGTCACTGATTTCAAATCGGAATCTGGGCCAAATCAACAATGAACAGTAGTAGCTGGAAAGTGATCATGTATGATAAATGTACTTCTTTGGGGTTTTTTTTTTTTTTTTTTTTTTTTTTTTTTAGTTTATTTTTGACAGAGACAGAGGGGGAACATGAGCTGGGGAGGGACAGAGAGAGAGGGAGACACAGAATCCGAAGCAGGCTCCAGGCTCCAAGCCGTCAGCACAGAACCTGACGCGGGGCTCGAACTCACGAAGCGTGAGATCATGACCTGGGCCGAAGTCGGACGCTCAACTGACTGAGCCACCCAGGCGCCCCTACTTCTTTGGTTTTTAAGGGAAATCTTAGACTCTTACAGCTGTATGCCGCTGATAATGGTTCCGAATAGGCCCACCATTCCTAAAAACTCCTGCCTGCTCAGCTTCTTCACGATATACTCTTCACACACGTTAGAAACAGCATAGAGAGAAGCTCCAAGAAGGACCAAGATGTCACCAATCAGCACGTCACTACCTGCAGGAAGACAAGGCACAAAACACAACACAGTGTCAATATAGGGGACCCTAGCTCGCTCGCTTCCAGCAGTTTATCTGGTTCATGTTCGTTTAAGTAAGCCTTTATGGAAGGACAAACCCTGATTTCTAAAAGTTTAAGGACCCTTCTTCTCCTCAATTTCTGGCACAATTCTGCCATGATTTTTCTCACAGTTCAACCCCTCAGGAGACTATAAGATCAGAAAATGGAGCCATAATGTAAGGCCTCAGGAAATGATTCTATGACAGAGAAATTGATGGAATTTATGGCAGGGGATTAAGTGAAAACTACAGGGAAGGAAGCTACCCAGTCAAGGTTATCTTCTCTCAAAGGGCACAATAAAGTCACTCGGAGGTTGGGTGAATTCGACACCGTATTTAGATTTTATACCATCAATTGCCTGAACTTTGGCCCAAAGCATGTCCATGTCCACATGTTCTCATCCATGGAGCCACTGAAAAAGAGGTCAGTCATCCAGTGGACATGAAACTTCCTTTTGATAAAAAAAACCTACAATCTACAGTAGCTTTTCCAGTAAACTAATCTCAACGTATGGGCCCAAAGATTAATTGTAAATATATCAACAATTGTCTCTCTCATGAGATGAAACAAAACTATTTATTGTGACAAAAAGGCACGAGCACTGTGCACAGGTAAGAACATAAAAAACTGCTTTGCAGGGGCACCTGGGTGGCTCAGTCGGTTAAGTGTCCGACTTGGCTCAGGTCATGATCTCAAGTTTATGGGTTCGAGCCCCACATCAGCTGACAACTCAGAGCCTGGAGCCTGCTTCAGATTCTGTGTCTCCCTCTCTCTCTGCCCCTCCCCTGCTCATGCTCACTCACTCAGTCTCTCTCTTTCTCAAAAATAAATAAATTGGGGCGCCTGGGTGGCTCAGTCGGTTAAGCGGCCGACTTCGGCTCAGGTCATGATCTCGCAGTCTGTGAGTTCGAGCCCCGCGTCGGGCTCTGTGCTGACAGCTCGAAGCCCGCTTCAGATTCTGTGTCTCCCTCTCTCTCTGCCCCTCCCCTGCTCGTGCTCACTCACTCGCTCTCTCTCTCTCTCAAAAATAAATAAACATTAAAAAAAAAGCTGCTTTGTGGAAGTGGTTACAACAGCAGAAGCAAATAGATCTCAAAATAAAAAACTTAAAAGACAGTTTATAAGCAAGACACGTTTTCTGTCTTTTACCATATATCTTTGCAATATAAAAGCAAAAACACGAGGCGCCTGGGTGGCTCAGTCAGTTTAGAGTCTGGCTCTTGATTTTGGCTCAGGTCATGATCCCAGGGCTGTGGGATCGAGCCCCGCGTTGGGCTCCTCACGGAGCATGGGGCCTGCGTGGGATTCTCTCTCCTCTCCCTCTGCCCATGCCCCCTGCTCCCATTCTGTCTCTCAAAATAAATAAATTAAAACATTTTTTAAAAAAAAAAGCAAAAGTACAAGCAAAACATTTTTCTGGGACGGAACCAGAAACAAAGTAGCACAGCCTCACCTGAATTGTCTTCTCTCCCTGCGAGTATGTCGGCACCGACCATCGTCCCCACGCCCAGCAGACAGACAGCTACAGCAATCAAGTGGATCACTCTGTATCTTGCATAGAGAACAAACCACGAGAGTGCCATCAACACAGGAATCCCAAAGCAGTCCAAAAGCTGCATGGAAGGAGAAACAAACAACTTAAACCATCTCTCCTCAGCTAAACGATGGAGTCAGCACCTAACTACTACCAGCTGTGTACATTTCGTGTGCATTTCACGGATTTACCCCATTGCCTGGACTCCCCAGTACCCGGGTTAGCTCATCTAACCTTCACGATTCTAGGAGACTGAAAATGCATTTCCCATTTCACAGAGCAGGAAAACCAAGGCGCAGAGAGGTCACGTGAGCTGCCCCAAATCCCACAGTCAGAAGCGGGAGAACCGGTTGCTGCCCCCAGGAATTCCTCCCAGCAGCCGGTGCTACCTCGACACTCCCGCCTGTGTTTACCCCTGTAAGTCCAGGAGGCAGAGCTGCGGGCCCTTGTGCACCCTTGACCCGAGTCAACAAATACTTTCGCCCCTCCCAGGTGGGAGACGCTACAAGAGAAGCTGGAGACGGAGGTGTGTGTGACACACGGCCCTCAGGGGCACAAAGAAAGCCAGATGCAGGTGGAATAAGTCGTCACACAACCAGATACTTCAGTGCCTTTGGGCCAAGAGCTGCAGAGAAGTAGCAGGGATTGTCAGAAGGCCCCGAGACACCAGCGCCCTGAGCAAGTGTGCGGCCCCACCGCGTGGGACAACACCTGCTCCCGGCAAATCCTCTCGCTCATCTCCATCGTCTACTCCTAAACACTTGCCACACCTCTGATACTGCCGGGCGGAAAGGCAGGGGAGTGAACAGTGGCAAAATCCCAGCAAATCCAAAATCGGTGGCAAGATAAAGAAAAAATGGGGGATTTTATTCACTCGATTCTCGAGGTCACAGATTTTGCAGAGTGCATTCAAGGATAAAATACATGCCATACGCTAATAATACTCCTGAAACTGTTTTATTGCTCACTCTGTTTTTTGTTTTGTTTTGTTTTTAACCTTGTCGCTGATTCGCTCTGTAGCTCTCTGGTTTGGGACGAGGCAGGCCCCTAAATCTCCAGCAGCCTGTTTCATGCTGTCCACCGCTGTTTAGTGATTGCCTTTCACTGCAATGTCATTACTGGAGGCGGACGCGCCGACATGGGAATGGGCACTGTGCCTTGTTATTTATTCCAGCTGCAGAACGCTAATCCCCTAAGTGCTTTACTGAGCCTGCCGGAACAACAAATCATTAAGCGACGCACATGGTAATAGCCCGTCCCAGAAGACACCAGCAGAATCCAGCCATGATGACTTAACAAAGTCTACACTAGAATTCCTTCAACAAAAGAAGTACAAAAGGTCACTCTCAAAAACTCTCACAGCAAACTCCCTATCCTGAAATCGTGTCTTCAAATCAAACTCATATTGGCTCTATTTTTTAACAATTTTGGGGGGCCATATAAGGGAGCTGCGCATGGGGTGCAGCCACTGACCAGCCACGTGCTCCCCAGCCGGCCCCCCTCTGCGTCAAAGTATGAGAGGAAGAGAGCAGACCCAGATGATCTCACGGGTCCCTTCTTACCATAACGTTCCATGACTTCTCATCTGATATCTAGCACGTATGGCCTTCTAACTACATTGATTCTCCTTTTCACAATGTACTCTTGGTGATGGAAATCTTCTCTTTGATACGTTCAGTCCCAAGAGCCTCCCTATTTAATTTAATCTTTAAAAACTATTGGACAGCCACAGTAGACAAGGCACTATAAGTAAGACGCTGGGGGAAGCAGAGGCACAAAAAGGAGTTAGATTTTATTAGAAATACCTTATTAAAGACGGAGCACAGAGGAGAACATGAGATTGAATTAGACCTTAGAGAACGGAGGACAGGGGCTTCAAAAAGCACTGTGTTCTAGAAAGACGAGAGCTGCACAATGCAGGAGAAGCTGGCTGAGGGTGGGGAACCAGCAGAGGTGGCTGTAAAGTGAGAGGAAGCACGAGTACCAAACTAGCCCGTGGGGTGTCAATGGCCACGTCTGTGAGCACCATATTGCATTACTGGTAATTACTACATTACTGGCCATAATTACAGAATCTTTTTAAATTTTTTTTAATGTTTATTTTTGAGAGAGAGAGAGAGAGAGAGAGAGAGAGAGAGAGCACAAGCAGGGGAGAGCAGAGAGAGAGGGAGACACAGAATCTGAAGCAGGCTCCAGGCTCCCAGCTGTCAGTACAGAGCTTGTGGTGGGGCTCGAGTTCACGAACTGGGAGATCATGACCTGAGCCAAAGTCAGACACTTAACTGACAGAGCCACCCAGGCACCCCCGTAATTACAGAATCTTTGAAGGAATCCTTAGGGAGGAGGTTCAGAGACCACGTGGCCCAAACGCCCTTTCACCCAGGCCACAGATTTACTCAAGCAGAGACTTGGCTGGAAGGATCCCAGCGACACGCACCCTCCGCGGAGCTGGGAGCTGTAGCGGTCACATGCCCTTCTCGTACTGTACTCCTTGCGAGCACCGAAAAGCAAACACCTTTTGACAACCAAATGCTTACGTTTTCCTAAGAGGCTAGAAGTGAAAGAAATTCTTTTCAGTGGTAAAGGACATGAACTTCAGTCAAAAAGACCCAACTGTAAGAGTTCCACTTAGCTGTGTTTAGACCTTGTACCATTTCAAAACTTGTCATCGTCAGTCGTCAAGAGATCAAAGTTTCTGGGAGCTCTAATCAAGTAATTAAATTGTGCCTGAGATTATAAGGATAAACGTGACTAGAAAAATGCCATCTTCCACACTCTCATACCCTCATTACCCATAGCTGAAAGCACAAATAATCCTATTCATGATGAATTTCATTCTTTCAGTAACTCCTGGTCTTAATTGTTACGAAATCCTGGGTTTTTTACATGCCTCCTGTGGTATCCGCCTTAACCCATATTTCCCCAAGCCAGTCAAAAGCCAAAAAGTCTGCTGAAGACAATCCTTAGCACAATTAGTACAATATTACAGAACAGAAAACGCTTAATAAGATGCATTCAGCATTTAATGTATATTCACATGGGAAAAATACCGAATTTTCACCAATCCTTTTGTCTTCCAAGTGAAATAAGTCCAATTTCACTTCAATTTTTCCATGGTCCTAAAATGTGAAGACGAAATAAACACATCTCTGTATTTTAGGGGCACCTGGGTGGTTCAGTCAGCTAAGCTTCCGACTTGGACCCAGGTCATGATCTCACAGTTGGTGGGTTCGAGCCCCACATCGGGCTCTGTGCTGACAGCTCAGAACCTGGAGGCTGCTTCGCATTCTGCGTCTCCCTCTCTCTGCCACTCCCCCACTCACGCTCTGTGTGTGTCTCTCTCTCAAAAATAAACATTAAAAAAAAAAAGAACATCTCTGTATTTTAAATAGTGAGAAAACTGATGCATCAGAAAGTTATAAATCTAGGGGCACCTGGCTGACTAAGTCAGTTGAGCATCTGGCTCAGGTCATGATTTCACAGTCATGGCACCAAGCCCCACATCAGGCTCTGCAATGGGCGTCAAGCCACTTGGGACTTTCTCTTTCTCTCTCTCTCTCTCTCTCTCTCTATATATATATATATACCTCTGCCCTTCCCCCACTTGCATGCACTCTCTCTCTCTCTCAAAAAAAAAAAGTTACAAACCTATTAAACTGTGAAGTGTAAACCTGGCCCCAGAGTCTCCCTTTATAAAGTGTGTTGTTGTTGCCACTAGTGAGTCGGTGCCATCACGCAGCCCGTAAGACTGCTAACATTAAGACAACTGAATCAGTCTTCCTCAACCCCACCAAGTGAAAAAGTACTGCTCTGCAGGAACACATTTCTTTCAGTCCATCAAGAATCAACCTAAAAAAGAATAAGGAGATCGCTTTTGCCTTTGGCCACGCAGGACGCTGAGTCTCTACCCCATGCGTCTACGAGGTTCCTTCCAACAAGTCCAATGGCCCCTTTGTCTTGAATATCTACTTTACTAGCAAACCTCCCAGTTTTCTGTGGCACACAAAAGTATACTCACTTTACGGGCTGTGTTCAAACAAACTTAAAACAACTCTTGTCAACATCACAGCATCAACTGCCAACTAAATATTTCTGCTTCCTTCGGTATCAACTGTTCTACTGGGGAGCAGCACTGGCAGGTTGGGAACTGATTAATTTGTATACGTTTTCACTGATTCCAGGAGATCTTACTCACTAGCACATATGCTCCACTGAAAAACAGATAGCATCCACCTGTTTAGATTTCCTGCAAGGGAACAGGTTTTCGATAAAGTTGGCTTAGCAAACATGGCTTCAGCTTCTTTCCTTGAACTGAAAACTCCAAACCAGTCAGAGACTCCCCCTTACCTGGACACTGGTTAGAGTCGTATACTGGTATGCTCTGACAATCAGGTAATTGGCTTCCACATCCGCTAGTCCAAGCAGGATGTACTTCCACCATTTTCTCTTCAAGATGTGCAGAAGGTTATCACTACCTGGTGGAAAGAAATCTGGGTTGGCACATGTTGCTTGAAAGCAATACCATGGGGATGCCTGGGTGGCTCAGTCGGTCAAGCGTCCGGCTCTCGACTTCGGCTCAGGTCATGATCTCATGGCTCACGAGTTCGAGCCCCACAGTGGGGTCTGCACTGACCCCTGCTAGGGGTCTCAGTCTCCCGTCTGCACTGACAGTGTGGAGCCTGCTTGGGAGTCTCGGTCTCCCTCTCTCTCTGCCCCTCCCCTGTTTGTGTGCTCTGTTTCTCTCTGTCTCTCAAAATAAATAAATAATACTTTTTTAAAGAAAGAAAAGAAGGCCGCCTGGGTGGCTCAGTCGATTAAGCTTCCAACTTCAGCTCAGATCATGATTTCATGGTTCATGAGTTCAAGCCCCGCGTTGGGCTCTGTGCTGACAGCTCAGAGCCCGGAGCCCGCTTCAGATTGTGTCTCCCTCTCTCTGTTTCTGCTCCTCCCCCGCTTGTGCTCCCTCTCTTTCTCTCTCAGAAATGAATAAACATTAGAAAAAGAAAATATTACTATGCATGTTCAATTTAGATATTAAAGAGTCGAAGCAAATGTTCATTATGTATTATGAATGTGGTGCTTCCTAATTTCCATTATTCATAACCTAAATGCCTACAGTAACTCAGCAGAGTCAGTTAGATTTTTTTCTGTTAGGAGACCCAGCCTAAGGTGTCATCATAGACAAGTGTTCAAAGAAAACACCAGAGAGAAAGTAAGTAGGAGAAAAGTGGTTAAATTTCCTTTCCTACTGTCACATAAATGTAACATCCAGATATGGGCTTGGATGCTGCCATTGATGATAAGCTACAGATTATCCTAGAAATGAAAAGTTTTCTTATAAATCCATTTGGTCATTTAATCTCTGCACTTGGTCATTCTTTTGGAAGAGATGTGCTTTCAAGAGAAAATTAAGTCAGTGATAAGTCTGGAAAAAAGACTTACATCATCGAAGAAATACCTTTTATTGCCCAAATTCTACTTATTTAAGTTAACTGCAATTCACTTCTTTAGAGAATCTGGCAGGCAGGATTAGCACATACAGGAGAAGGCTTTACGATAAGATAATCTATAAGTCAGAATCATAACCAAAGAATTATCATCAAAGTCCAATTCGCAGGAACATCCTGAAATCAAACAGTCAGTCCCACTCAACATGACATGGCTTGGAAGGTCCCTGCCATCACCCCTTGGGGGACCTCACTGACACATTTATGAATCATGCTAACTTCCTTCAAGAGTTCAGAACAGCTCACAGAGGAGTAGAGTCTGGGGCTAGTAACCACGTGTCCAATTCTGTTTCCAACTCCTAACATTCTTGCCAAACCTGGTGCTCTCCCCTTGAAATGTTTCCCCCCCTCCCACACTGGCTTCCATTTTCCTTCAAAAATAAGTCACCTATCCCAACACAGAAATACCACTGACCTATTAAGGTTCATATTACAAGAGGATTAGCAAACATCAGTGATTTCACGATGTGGCTGGAAATACCAAAGATGGAAGGACAGCCCCCTCCTGGTCAGTCTGGGTTACCCCTCGTTTTCACATTCCTGGATTCAATCTCTTTTTGTTTTTTAGGTTTACTTATTTATCTTCAGAGAGACAGACACAGCACAAGTCGGGAAGGGCACAGAGAGACGGAGAGAGAGAGAATCCCAAGCAGGCTCCACACTGTCAGCATGGAGCATGATGCAGGGCTCGAACCCACAAAACTGAGAGATCGGGACCCGAGCCGATCATGACTAAGACGCTTCACCAACTGAGCCACCCAGACACCCCTCACGCTCTCCTCTTACGGGAAGGACGTCTGTTATGACTAACAGCCCCTCGTGCACAGCATGGGCTCAGGGGCAGGCTGCCCGCCTTGGAATCCGGCTCCACCAGTCACTACCTGTATGACTCACAACCGGCTATGGTGGGCTGTGTGACTCTGTTTCCTCATCTGCAAAGTAGGGATAACGGTAATATTCACTTTGCTTCCTCGGGAGGACTTGGTGACATAACATGTAACAAAATGAGGTAAACAATTCAAACGATATCCGGCACAAGAGGTCAGTCAGAACCTTTCCCATTTTTTGCATAGCAGCTAGAAATCATAAATCTGTAACAATTCTAAAACAACGTAACCAAGGGCACCTGGGTGGTTCAGTTGGTTAAGTATCTGACTTCAGCTCAGGTCATGATCTCGTGGTTCATGGATTCGAGCCCTGCATTGGGCTCTGTGCTGACAGCTCAGAGCCTGCTTTGGATTCTGTGTCTCCCTCTCTCTACTCCTCCCCCTTGCACTTTATCTCTCTCTCAAAAATAAACATTAAAAAAAAAATTAAAACAACCAGCCAGTAATAAGGATGTTACTTCCTTCTCTCCCTCTCCCTCTCTGTCTGCCCCTCCCCACTTGTGCTGTCTCTTTTTTAATATTATTAAAAAATAAATATTTTTTAAAAGGGGGGGGCACCTGAGTGGCTCAGGAGGTTAAGTGTCTGACTCCTGATTTTGGCTCAGGTCATGATCTCATGGCTCATGACATCAAGCCCTACATCAGGCGGTCTGTCAGCACGGGATTCTCTCTCTCTCCCTCTCTCTGCCCCTGCCCTGCTCTACTCTCTCTCTCTCTCAAAATAAACAAACATTAAAACAAAAAAAGATGTTAACTCCTTGCCAATTCCTTTGTCTTTCTCACAACACAGATCTGATCTACACACAACCCGTGCACCCTCTAACATTCTCCACTTGGCTGGAAATGTGTATTTTGGAGAGTGAGTCTCTTTTTAAGGGTTTTTAATATTGTCTCTTAAATGTATCAACCACAGGGGAAAAAATAAAACCTGACTTTTTTTTTTTTTTTAATATTTATTTATTTTTTGGGACAGAGACAGAGCATGAACAGGCGAGGGGCAGAGAGAGAGGGAGACACAGAATCGGAAACAGGCTCCAGGCTCCGAGCCATCAGCCCAGAGCCCGACGCGGGGCTCGAACTCACGGACCGCGAGATCGTGACCTGGCTGAAGTCGGACGCTTAACCGACTGCGCCACCCAGGCGCCCCAAAACCTGACTCTTAATGGAGCTTCCGCTTTTTTAATTTTATTCATTTTTTTTAAAGTAATCTCTACCTCCAACGTGGGGCTCGAACTCACAACCCCGAGATCAAGAGTCCCATGCTTTACCAACTGAGCCAGTCAGATGTCCCAGCACTTTTTCAAATTCCTTGACAACTTCTACTGGTACCGTCTGGTGCTCCCTGTTCTTAACAATTTCACAGAGTTAATACGTAAATCTCCAATCGCTATTTGCATACCATTCAGAGGTGCCCTCCTCTTCTAATAACTTGGATGAAAAATAGTTTCCTGTTCTTGGTTTGACCTCGCATTTTATTTATTTATTTATTTTTTTAAATTTTTTTTTTTCAACGTTTATTTATTTTTGGGACAGACAGAGACAGAGCATGAACGGGGGAAGGGCAGAGAGAGAGGGAGACACAGAATCCGAAACAGGCTCCAGGCTCCGAGCCATCAGCCCAGAGCCTGACGCGGGGCTCGAAGTCCCGGACCGCGAGATCGTGACCTGGCTGAAGTCGGACGCTTAACCGACTGCGCCACCCAGGCGCCCCTCGCATTTTATTCTTTAAGTAATCAGAAGCCCAACATTTTTATAAAGATAACTGGCTCCAAAGGCCACTCTCACGTTGTACCGACCTGACTGGAATGCCAGCATCACCGTATAAAACAGAAGCAGCAGGCAATAGTTGATAAAGCTCTGAAGCATGGGCGTGTTCACTCTGTATCTTTCTGCCAGGTACTGGCTGGTAATGGCCGTCCCGCATATACACAAGGACAACATCTGACCCAACGCAACTGTCTTCAAGATGTTCCTGGAAAATAAAGGAGAAACTCAGAACGACTTGCAAGTAAATTATACCTTATGTGCGCGTGCCCGCACACACACACATACTAAACACAAAGAAAAATGTGAATTATTCCAGGCGGTTTTTATTTCACTGTTTTGCTTACTTCATGAACACAAAAACCAAAGTGTTGTATTTTAGGGGCGCCTGGGTGGCGCAGTCGGTTAAGCGCCCGACTTCAGCTCAGGTCATGATCTCACGGTCCGTGGGTTCGAGCCCCGCATCGGGCTCTGTGCTGACAGCTCAGAGCCTGGAGCCTGTTTTGGATTCTGTGTCTCCCTCTCTCTCTCCACCCCTCTCCTGCTTGTGCTCTTTCTCTCTCTCTCAAAAATAAATAAACATTTAAAAAAAATTTTTTTTAATAATAAAGCATTGCATTTTAACAAACTACATCTTTCACTCTTTGACATTTCTGATTTCCCACATTTCTCATTCCCACAAAGGTACATATTCCCAAACTTCACTGATCATTTTAATGTTTTTTGTTTGCTTGTTTTTTAGAGAGAAACAGAGCACAAACAGGAGAGGGGCAGAGAGAGACACACACACAGCATTCGAAGCAGGCTCCAGGCTCCGAACTGTCAGCACAGAGCCTGACGTGGGGCTCGAACTTCTGAACTGTGAGATGATAACCTGAGCTGAAGTCGGATACTTAACCTGCTGAGCTGCCCAGGAACCCCTTCACTGATCATTTTAGAGATCATTTTGATCACTTTGCTGTGTCACATTCTGTCTGTAGGGTGTGTGATTTTTTTAACGCAACTTTAACTCTAGTTTTCAATTCTTCCTATTCACTAAATGTTTACCATTTTTTCCTCCTTTCATTCTCCCAGAGACTTGATTGATTTCTTCAACTAAGGCTTTCACTGTTGCCTGCACGCTTGAATCACAGAGATTTAAAAAATTTTTTTTCAATGTTTATTATTTTTGAGAGACAGAGAGCAAGCAGGGAAGGGGCTGAGAGACAGGGAGGCACAGAATCCGAAGCAGGCTCCAGGCTCTGAGCTGTCAGCACGGAGACCGACACGGGGCTCGAACTCACGAACCTCGAGATCATGACCTGAGCCGAAGTCAGTCGCCTAACCAACTGAGCCACTCAGGCGCCCCCCACAGAGATTTTTTAAATGCCAACGTCCAGCTGCACCTGGGACCCACTTTGCCATCACGTCTGGCAGTGGGTCCCAGGCACCGGTGACATTCCAAGCTCCCTGAGTGATTCCAGGGTATGGCCAAGACTCGGAATCACTGTTCTCGAGGCTGGCACTTTGGATCCACAGAATAAGACCAGGTCTCTGCCTTTTGGTATTTAAAAAAAAAAAGAGGCATCGTAACAACCAACTAAAGCCAGGTCAGTGTCGATGGAAAGTACAGAATGACATGAAAGACGCCCCAGGGGGAGAACGTACAGAACCCAGTGGCCCATTAAACCTCCGGAGGAAGCACTGAAAATGATCTCGGGGTTTCCTTTCCAGAGTAGACGACTGGACACATACAAGGCGGCTGACCAGGTTAGGGAATACAGGATGAGAAGCAGGTGTGGTCAAGGGAAGGGGAGTGAGTTCACTGGAAAAGCAGGAGATGGAGATGGCTGTACCATCCGAGGGAAAAACAGTAAAAGGTTTGTGACAGGGGGACTCTTAAGAAGGCCCCTAGTGAGTCTCTGCTTCCTGGCAGTTTTGTCCCATGTAATCTCATCTTGAGCGTGGGCAGGATCTGTGACTTGCTTCTAACCATTAGAACACAGTAGAAGTAATGGGATATCACTTCCACCAACATATTCCACGAGGTCACAACTCCCACCTTGCAAGTCAACTCTTTGGCCCCTCCTCCTCACTAGCTCCGATGAAACAAGGTGCCACATACACAGACCCACGTGGCAAGGAGCTGAGGGTGCTGGGGCACCGAGGCCATCCGTCCACCGGTCTGCCATGAAAGGAATCCTGCCAACATGAACATGAGCCTGGAAGCGGACCCCTCCCGCTGGAGGCTGCAGGGGGGTCCCCGGCCCCGGCCGACACCGTGACTGCAGGCTCGTGAGAGACCCCGGAACACAGGGCAGAGGTAAGCCACGCCCAGATGCCCGATCCACAAAAACTGTGACAGTAAGTGTATCTTATTTTAAGTCGCTAAGTTTGTGGTAATTTGTTAAACAGTAATAGATAACAAACACCAAGTTTAAACTCTGGACTTCAGAAAGTTAGACCATAATCTGTTTTGTTCTCCACCACACATCCAGTGCCTGGCACTTCATTGTCACCCGATAAATATTTGTTGAACACACGTCAGTGGATAAAGATAGAATCATATGTGCCCAAATAGATGAACTGCAAGATCAGAGACAGACTAGAAATTGTAAGAGTACCGTGAGGGGTCCCGAGGTGGCTCAGGGGGTTAAGCATCTGACTCTTGATTTGGGCTCAGGTCATCATCTCACAGTCGTGGGATCGAGCCCTGTGTCTGGACACTGCAAAGCCTACTTGGATTCTCTCTCTCTCTCCCTCTCTGCCCCTCCCCTGCTCATGTGCCCTCTCTAAATAAAAAACAAACAAAATTTTTAAAAAAGAGTACCATGATACAGAAGTGAAGAGTGGAGAACATTTTTAAGAGGAAGAGATCATCAATACCATAGTATCAAAAACTACAGGGAGAAGAAGCAGCATCATAGTTAAAGAGACACAGCTGGACTGGCAAGCTGGAAGTCGCTTACACCTTTGAAAGAAAGCTTTTCCTCGTGGTAATGCCTAACGTCAGATTCCAGGGGGCAGAGTGAACAGAACATGAGCAAGTAAATGTACCAAGCATAAATAGCTGGTTTTTTTTTTTTTAATGATGAAAAGGAGAATAGGAATAAGGAAAGAGTTTGAAGAATAAGCAGCAATGTTGAAGAGACGGGTTTATGATCATCATCACCACCATCATCATCATCATCATCATCATCATCATCACCATCATCATCATCATCATCACCATCATCATCTTGCTAAAAGGACTGAGGAAGCTTAAATATGTCTGGCAGATGAGCAGAAGGCACTGCGACTAAAAACCTGAAGACTGACAAAAAAGAAACTGAAGACAGATCACGAAGATAGCTCCTGGAAAGGTCAGGAAGCAGGACGGAGAACACTGAAACTTTTGTTTAAAATGCACTCTATATACATACTTCCTCCCAGAGTTGCTCTAAGTGAGGTAGCAAATACCAAAACTGCAGAAGATAGAATATCTGTTCTAAGAGTTTACAGTTACAACGTATTTTTTTCCTGTGGAATGTCTGTCTCAGTACTTTGCGACTCATCTCCCACAATCCTAGTACAGGGCAGAAAGAGAAAGGGGACGTTTGCTGGGAGAGTTGACTCTAAACACACTAGCAGAGCCTTGGCAGTGTATCAGGACAGGAAGGTAAAGAGCGAGTGGGCTCTCTGTGTGCCTCAGAGGTTCAGAGTCTGCCGGGGATAAGCAGGCACGTAAACTAGGAATTAGGGCCCAGCAAGACCAGGGCTATCACGGGCTAGTTTTAAAGACTTTAAGAATTCACCAGACAAGCATGGTCAGAAAACACGTTCCAATTCTAAGCAGAAAGAGTGGTATATGTACCAAGGCACCGAGCCCTTGGTGGGTTCATTCAAGTGGGTCGATTGCAAAGAGTGTTGGGACAGAAAAATGGCAGCAAATGAGGATGAAAAGTCAAGAGCAGCCAGATCCAAAAGGGCCTTGGATGCGATAATGCTCTGAAGTCGGCATCGTTATCTTGCTGGTGGTGAGGTCACTGAAATCTTCTGACGAGGAGGGCAGAAAAGGGACTAGAAAGGCAGGACTTGAGCATTCTTGGGTCCCTAAACATGTCACAGCACAGGGCACCCAAGCCTCACCCTTAATCCCTAACATGAAGCCCAGTTACAGAGGGAAGATGACAGAGAGAGGAGTCTGGAATCAGACCCGGTTTTCTAGATCAGACAACGGGATAGATCGTAGTACGCTCAATCAAGACCCCAAACACAGCAGGAAAAGGCACGTGTGGAAAGGAGAATAACTCCATTTCAAACATGCTGGATTCTGTTTCAACTATGAGACAGTCAAGGAAAACTATCCAGTAGGCAGTTTGGAGCTGGGAAAAAGGATGGGGTTGCAGAAATAAATGTGAGAACCAAGAGCATGGAGATGGTAACTGAAGGTGGGATATGAGTCATATTACTAAGACATGTCCCTAAAAAATGAAAACAGGGTGGGAAAAAAAAAAAAAACACTCTGGGAAACAACAACACTAAGGGGCCAGAGGAGGAAGAGGAATTAGAGATGGGGATAAAAGGGCATGGCCAGAGAAGAGGGAGAGAGAAAGGAAGGAAGAACATTCTGGAAGCAGAAGATGGCATTTCAAGGAGGAGGTTCTCTACCATTGGGGCCACGGCAAATTTCTCTTAACTGCTCCACTCTCCACAAATCCAGTCCCTGCTGGGTAGCAGGAGTTAATGTTCCAGCTGCTAACCTGACGGGACCCCTCCCACGCTTCCTGACACCTTTCTGTGGGTCCCCTTTGCCCTTAGACGAAAGCCAAACTTGTAAATGGCCCACAGAGACACCCACCATCTGACCCCTGGCTTGCTTGCCTGTCTCATCTTGGACTCCTCTCTCACAGCTTTCATTCGCTCTATAGGGAAATCTCCACAGGAGAGTTAACATAGAACAAAGTATACTGTAGAGCCAACACGTATTTATGGATCTACCAGGGAGCTTAAAAACTAAAATACTGGCAACGTCAACATAGCCCCCTTGGGTTCTCCCCAGTGTCAGCTCTCTGGGGTAACTTCTTATTCCAGAACTTGGGATTTATCATTCCCTGCATTTACATATATTTTAAAATGTCTGTAAATATCCCTAAGCAATAAAGTGTTGTTTTGCTTGTGTTTAAATTTTATAGAGACAGCATGATACGTATGTATACTTTTGCAACCCGCTATTTTGATCAACACTGT